AAAAAAAAAAAAAAAAAAAAAAGTTGCTTTCAAATGTAGGTGCTGCCAAAAAGCAATAACATGAATAGGTGTGATTGTGAAGCAAGGGATATTTGTTTCTGGGAAGACAGGACCTATAAAAGTCCAGTAAAGAGACCTGATCAAATTTTTCTTTAAATTGAATGTCAGATTGCAGCTCTATTCATTCTGTTTGAAAATTGGCAGATAACATATCTGTGTCTTTTTGCTTTTTTTTTTTTTTTGAGATAGTCTCACTATGTCACCCTTGGTAGAGGACTGTGGTGTCATAGCCCATAGCAACCTCAGACTCTTGGGCTTAAGCGATTCTCTTGCCTCAGCCTCCCAAGTAGCTGGGACTGCAGGCACCTGCCACTATGCCCAGCTATTTTTAGAGACAAGGTCTTGCTCTGGCTCAGGCTGTTCTGGAACCTGTGAGCTCAGGCAGTCTACCTGCCTCGGCCTCCCAGGTTGCTGGGATTACAGACGTGGGCCCCTGCGCCCAGCAGTAACATATTTGTGTTGACTGAAAATGGAGTCACAAATGCACTAACATATTATTTTCCCAGAAATCTTGAAATCTGTTTTTAAATTCTTGTATCAAGTGGAAAAGCAAAGTTGCATGTTTTTCACTGTTCACAGGTCTGTGTTTACCCAACATGTAGAAATACATAAAATGGTTTGCCTTAATTTGAATTTACCATAGTTTCAGTTTCATTTGGAACATTGTTAGGGTTTGCAACATTGTATTGATAAGTTGGTTTTTGCCTTGAAGATGCATTGAAACAAGCAGTTTAATCCACTAAAAATGCTAAATCTGTAAGCCAGTTTTCTTTTCTTTCTTTCTTTTTTTCTTTTTTTCTTTTTTAAGAGACAGTCTTATTTTGTCGCCCTCGGTAGAGTGCTGTGGCGTCACAGCTCACAGCAACCTCCAGCTCTTGGGCTTAGGCAATTCTCTTGCCTCAGCCACCCACCTAGCTGGGACTACAGGCTGGCTATTTTTTTGTTGCAGTTTGGCCAGGGCCAGGTTCGAACCTACCACCCTCAGTATATGGGGCCAGCACCCTACCACTGAGCCACAAACGCCGCCCTGTAAGCCAGTTTTCATCATTAGTTCTGGCATAAATTTGGTTTTGGATATGATGAATGACTTGATAACATGTCACAAATCATAAAATCTTTTCAACATTTGGCCTCAACTTAAGCTATCTTACTTCCAAAAGGTAAATGGTGTCACCATAGTCAGCATCAATACTTTTAAGGAATTCCTTGAATTGGCAATGATTCAATCCCTTGGCCCTTATGAAATTCAGTCTTGATGACGATTTGCGTGACCTTATCCATTTTTAAAGCTTTTGTGCGTACATTTTCTTGATGTACTATGCAATAATATTACATCAAATGTGAGTTTGGGGCAGCAATCGATTATATTCTATTGATTTTCTAAGTCCCTGTCTTTTACCTGTAATAAAAACGACAAGTTGAGCCATATTGGAAGTATCAGTGCTGTTTCATCCAATACTAGAGCATAAAATTTAAAATTTAACAGCTTTACTTTCCCAACTTCTTTGGATAGATTTATCAGTTTCTTCAATTCACTTGGCTATTGTCTGTTGAGACAAAGTGATTTTGAAAATATCCCCCTTTTTCCAGGGCGAATTATATTTGCCGCGCTTTCCATACATGGCTCAATAAACTTGCTATCAATACATTGTTTTGATTTTTTTTGCTACTAAATGTTACCACATAACTAGCTTTGACAATGGAATCCATCTGAGTTGTACCTTTTTTTTTTTGAGACAAGAGTCTCACTTTGTCACCCTGGTAGAGTGCTGTAGTGTCTTTGTTCACAACTTTCTTGGCTCAAGCAATCCTCCTGCCTCAGCCTCAGGGACTACAGGCCCCCGCCACAATGCCTAGCTGGTTTTTTTTAGAGATGAGGTACTGGCTCTTGCTTAGGCTTGTCTTGAACTCATGAGCCCAAGCAATCCACCTGCCACAGCCTCCCAGATTGCTAGGATTACAGGGGTGAGCCACAGTGCCAGCCTGAGTTGTAACTTTTTTTTTTTTTTTGAGACGGAGCCTCAAGCTATCCCCCTGGGTAGAGTGCCATGGCATCACAGCTCACAGCAACCTCCAACTCCTGGGCTCAAGCGAGTCTCCTGCCTCAGCCTCCCAAGCAGCTGGGACTATAGGCGCCCGCCACAATGCCTGGCCATTTTTTGGTTGCAGCCATTATTGTTGTTTGGCAGGCCCAGGCTGGGGATTCAAACCTGCCACCTTAGGTGTACGTGGCTGGCGCCTTAGCCACTTGTGCCACAGGTGCCGAGCCGAGTTGTAACTTTTTAAAAGAAATTTTGTTGAGAAGACAGACTTTTTTTTTTCAGTTCTGCTATTTTGTCCTTAGGACACCATCCTTCATACACGTCAAGTTTGTTGGCATGTTTTTGTATATAATGCCTTTTC